GGTTCTGTTGAAAACCATCCGCTGAGACTCTGTGACCTGTCAAACACGCAAGTTACGATGAGACAGCCAACATTTTCCCATTTCAGTGCATTAGAAAAGAAACCAGTTTGATCCCAAAGTCCTCAAAAGTTTATTCATTTTTTATTGAACTCCTGGATAATCTGTGAAGTTAGTTAAATCATGCTAAAACTTGCAAAAGAGACAAATATTAGACCCCAATGGCATTCTCTCAAGAGAATTACAACACTCCTCTAATCCACAAAATGAGATTCATGAGATTATAGTTCAGTTCAGACGGCACAAAAATCAATTCTGTTCTAACATTTGCAGCCTTGCAAAGGGGGAAAAAATACAAGAGTAATGTTCCCAAATTTTGGAGGCCACAAAAGGTTTCAGTAATGAGTTACTACCTGTCACAGAAACGCAAGGCACAATATATCTGGAGACTTCAACTGCTTGTGCCAATAATAACCTGTATGCAATTGCACAGGATTCTCGGGTACATGACTTAACACTTTTCTTTCTTTTAGAACTAAACCAATAGTAATGTACCGGCAAAAGTCGACACTATTCAGAACACACCGTGCCCCAGTATACAGGGAGAATTCCTTGACATTTCCATGGTGTCTTTCAAGATCCACCTCTGAAAATACTCTTTCATGCCCCGTAGTCAAAAGTGAGCAGCAGCCGTGGTGTTTACAGAGCCTTGCAAGCTGAACAGCGGACCGGAACATATTAGCCACTCAGGTGTTTTGCAGATAAACGCCTTGTGCCGTCGACGCCTGTTAGTTTGGCTGCTTTTCATTTATTTTGTTCATTTGCTATCGTTAATAGTGTGTGAAGCCTGTCGACAGCGAAGCGTGAAGCTAAAGAGGCTGGGGGTGCTGCCGACTGAACCTGCAGACTGTTGACTTCCTCTCCCTCTTCCCTCCGCTTGTCAGAGAAGCACATTTCACTTCCCCAGGTTTCCTCGACCCCGGGGAGTAAACTCCGGTGATCCTCCTCCTTCCCCGTCCCACGCCTGGGCCGAAAGCTTCCATGCTCTCGCATGAGCCTAGTTGTACAGTAATAATGAGAGAATTGGAGGCACAGATAAGGAGATAATTAGGGAGCCTTGGGCCAGAAAGTGCTTCATGGGTGGTGTCAGTTCTTCTTAGGCATAGTGCTGAGACCAATTTATCAAATCCTCCCCCAGCCCCCAACACCCACCAACACAGTTGTGACTTGTTTACTGGAGATTAGCAGGAGATAAGGGATCAGTCCACAATGGAGTCAACATGTTCTGCAGCCTTTTCACTGTCTCTTCATTCTCCCTGCAGACACCTCAGCACATTAAGAAGGACAGAGATAGTTAGATCTATCTTCAGGCAGCCTCAGTGGAATTAAGGCATGTAGGGAGGAGCAGGCAATGAACAGCCTCATAACATGTTTTTGAGCTCCTCCTGTTTAAAACGTGAGGTGGTTTTGAGGATATTGCGTTCACAGTTTTAAAAAAACAATACAATATAAATGTTTTTGTGTTCCCAGAACCAATATTGTTGACCATATGGAATATGAGGGCTGATTTCAAATATTAATAAGAAATATGTATGGAAACACAGGTTTTAATTTATTTATAGAGAACTCTGGGAACATGGAGCCTAATTAGAAAACAAACGACGTTGAGAAGAAACCAGGAATTACAGTATGTCACAAGACAGAGCATAAATGTATTGTCACCGCATTGTAGTTCAAATTGTGGACTTGGAACTGGAACAGTGGCCAGGAACACAAGGAAACAGGAAAAAACAACAACAAATAATTGTAAAATTTAGAGCATTTGCTATAGTTACTGTAGTCCAACTTGAGTCGCTTCTGTCTCAACAGTTCTAATGTGGATATTGCTGCTACTGCCACTGCTACTATTAGAACTAATGCACCAGCAGCAGCACTTCACAAAACCAGCAACAAGAAGCCGCGGTGGTTTACTGGGTGCAGTAAATTCGGACAGGTGGTAAATTCCGGACAGTTTCTACGGATGCTATTTCATAAAGCGTTTCCCAATGCAGAAGAGAGAACGACTCTGTCAGCTCGACAGACGGCTCCCCGAAGCGAACCTCCACTGGCTGGCTGTCTTGAGCACTGATAAATGGCACAGCCACGCGTCCTTGGGTGCGGCGATCACATGATTAATGGGCCGGAGTCGGGGAGAAAGCCGCAGGAGAGGCTGGTGCACCGCCGCAGGTGAGAGAACGGCCTGTGATGCAAGCCACCAGGAGGACAAGGAGGGGGAGCTGAGGTGCGACTCGACACTGAAAGACGAACAGGCACAGCGAGGGACCCACAGCCACCCGGGAGCTCAGTCTCCGAGGCAGACGGGCGCGGGCGCGGGCGATCTGGTGCCCAAGCACTCATTCGGGGGATCCCACTCTGCTACCTTGGCACACGGTAACTATGAAAAGATTCCTTCTTTGGCTTCACCTGCAGGAGGGTCACCAGCCCTCCCGTTGCAGAAAGGGGCAAAAAGAACAAGCTGCTGCATCAGTGCAACTCAGAGGGGAAGAAAAAAGCTAAAGGCTCAGGTTTATAAGCAGAATCTATGGGCCTAAAATTACAGTGTAACAGCAGTAATATTTTGCATGGTAGTGTATTACTGGAAGATAAGGTAATATTTTACTTTACAATTTAATATCTAAATAAAAATGTACAGTGTGCAAATCAAAGCTAAAAGATTATATTTATATCCATTAATCATAAATGATAAATACAGAAAGTGGCTTTTCTTCCTCCTGCACAGTGCCAGTATCAGTTGCAACGGACGTATCTGTTCATTGGAAAAAGTTCACTAAAATCTTTCATATCTGGTAGAATTATTAAAATAACGTGACTTTGTGTTCTCATTTACTGTTGCTTGCATTTTTGTTTTTTACTGTATTCCTGGGAATTATCTTCAGCGGGTCCCGATTCTTCATGTGCCTTGCTGTGCTGCTCCTGTAAGCACTGAAACAATGTTTTGTATCTCTGAAATAATTCAGGAGGGATTAGGAAACACTCAAGCAAATTAATGTTTTTTTTTCTTGCAAGGACGGACCCGTCTGACTATACTACCTCCTATATTCCATTCCAATTAGCAATTGTATCACAATTTTATTTGCATTTTGTAAAATTTTTGAGCATCTTACGTGAGGAATTGGAAAGATTACTGCACACATGCTTATTTCTATGTGAAAAGAAAAGTTTCTTAGTCTTATTTGTCTCATCAAGAGAAATCAGTTTCGGACACATCTTCAGTTATCAGAAAATAAGTGCTTTGTGTTCAAGGGACGATATGTGTACAATATCTGTCGCTCTTTAAATACAATTAATGTCAGTATAGGACATATTACCAGTGTCTTTAGAATCCCTCTTCCAAAGTTTCAAAGCTTTTTCACAAATAAAATAAAACTGTGTTCTGAGACTTCAGCTGTATAAGACCATCTACAGTTGTCAGATCGTCTTTTTCTGCATCATTTCCTCATTAGTTAATCTGTTGGTAAATGGGTTTAATGAATCGTCTATTTTCTATCTATCTGTGGACGCTAAGTGCTGGATACCATGTAAGGATGAAGCCTTAAGAAAGAAATAAGAAAGGATAACAGATGGAGACAGAAATGCTCATGATCCAGGCGACAGCATTAGCGACATTCAGAAAAAAAAAACTCCCATTGCAGTAGACTGTCACTAAAGTAGGCAAACTAAAAGAAATTAATAAAATTTGTTTTCAGATGCCTTAGACCGTGGACTTGGAAATAGAAATTTTTTCATCCGTTATCCACCTCAGTAACCTAGAATCACAGAGTGGAGGGCCAGACTACACTCTGGATGGAGCACAAGCCTATCACAGGACACACAGTTCAAACACAAGGACACCAACGAACCTAGCCAGAGTGTCTTTTGGAAGTGGGAGAAAACATACTGACACCAGACGCACATGTAATATCCACACAGAAGACAGGAAATCAAGCTCTAGATCCAAAAAATTGTCTTCATTATTTTCATGTCACCATGCTGCCCACTTATTACATTATAATACATGTGCAAGCCCTCACATCACACCACCAGAGAGTTCTGATGTAGACATTATGGAAGCATGAGGTCAAAATGCAGTAGTCTTATGTTTGCCCTAAGTGCAGAAGGAGAATATAAAGTCATTCATATGAGGCTGTTGTCTATCGATTTTAGCCCTATGTGAGCTGAAAGGAATGAGAAAGGTGAACAAGAGTTCATTGCAGGACTCTAGCAGTGGTATGTTTCTCAACAACATCAATGTGCTTTCAAGTAGTAAAGCCTCCTGAGATTGTTTTTACATGAAGGAAATACCAGCATCCCTTCACAAATGCCACAGCAACAATCCCAACAAGAGGAAACACATCCAGATGCCTGTATTAGCAATCCCATAGCCCATCAACACTCCCCTGTGCTGTTTGTAAAAGCAAGCAAACAAAACTGTGCAAGAACCCTGAAGGAACTTGTTTTCAGTCCTTGGCATTATTCTACAAAGCATTTTTTAAAACTGAAATCTAAATGGATTTTGTCTGCTTCTCCTCCATCACCATTTTTTCATTACTGCCGTTATAATTTCATTTTCTTAGTACATTTAAAGATACTATACTCTACTCTTCTAAATCCAGCAGTCAGAACCTAAATCATACAGGGCAATCTGTCATTTAAAATACAAATCTTGAGTGAGGATACACTGTATTATTCATTATGCAGATCTCAACATGAAGCTTCCAAAAAGATCTGGTGATCTAAAATGACAACGAACACTTAAAATAAAAAAAACAGAAACACAAGATAAAAAAGTTTGATTGAGCTGCAGTAAAGACATGCTGATGAGCAAGGCCAGTCATTTTTGCAGCTTCTAAACTGCTTAGCAACATCATCGCAAGCCTTGTAAGGTTCAGATCTGCCTCTACATTTTATGTAGTGAAACATCTTTGGATTTAAAAAAGATAGACATGGATAGGGGAGTGTGTTACCTTGTCCTTAAGTTGCTCTGATGGGGCTGGCCATCATACACAGAGAGAATGTCAAAGTCCTCTTCCAAAGCCAAGGACTGGAACACCAGCTGTATTCTGTTGTGGTCCTGTGTGACCACAATCCACGTGCAGTTGGCATAATTGGGGTAGCCGTAAGGAAATCCTGGGCTTTCTATCGTTCCATTGGGACCATGTAGCGTGTGACTGCAGTTCTGAGCTAGAACAACAAAAGAAAGATGGAGAAAAACATCAGTCAGTCCTTTCATCGAGAGGGGCCTTTCATGGCAAGCATTGCCCGGTGTTGTACACATGGGATCAGAAATCACAACTAAACAGCAACAGGGGGATAACTCTTCTCCTGATCTGGAAATATTTTTTTAACATCCTGATTTGTAATCACCACTAACCTGAAAGTAAGTTTTTTTGTAGCCAAAACCATGCATCACCTTAACACATCACGACACGGCAGGCTGTGAAAATCAGAATTTGAAATTAAAGAGCCGCTTTCGGATGAGAACTGGAATATCACTTGGAATGATCTAACCTTTTCTTCTCTTAAATTGTTACATCAAGTGTACTAAACTAAACCAGTAAGGTTGGAGAGACTTAAAGAACAGAATCAGGACCAATTACAGTATACTCAGAATATGGAAATGTTCTAAATGTAACAAAAGGTAAAAATATACTGTATATACTTCATGAGGTATTGTAATGATTATTATAGTAATAATTAAAGTAGCTTTGCAGGTACTGTCTTGCTTTTTGTATCAAAAATATATATCAAATAGTTAATTCTGCATCACTTTCATAATAGAAGCAACTTTTCTCTCCTTCCTGTCCCCAGGTTCAGTTAAATCACCAGGCAAGACTTTCAGAATATTAATAATTTTGTTTAAAGGAACTGACGTCTTGCCATATTCATTCCAAAGTATTAAAAAGACTAAGTTGGGGTACAGTGGTATGTGGGAACCCCAAAACTCACGAATTAGGGTCATGACTAATTCTCATTGGCAATATCCTTACACAACACTATAACCATAATCAGTTCCACATCATCGTAATCAGTTACAAAAAAGAAAATGGAAATAAAAGCTTCTGATGTATAATGTACATCATTTATATAACCCCAAGCAAAATGTGGAAGGCATAACACAAGATACTTCAAAATGTTAATTGAGCTTTTCTTTTGCATGCCTGCCAGAGGTTGCACATAAAATAATAATAAGAATAGTTAATATTTATATTATATTTAATAGTTCCTTGCATTTATATGGAGTTTCTCATCCCAAAGGATCCCCAAATGCTGCACATATACTGTAGTACGCAAACCGTTTCATCCACCACTGAAGTACAGCATCCAACTGGGTAATGTGAGATTTAATTCCCTACTGCTCAGTATATCAGGAAGGGAAGTGAGATACTGCATTAAGATGGATCTTTACAAAGGTCAGATTGCAAAAGCCCAAAGCAGAATTTAACCAGGACACCCAGGTTAGCAAACTCCCGATTTAATATCTCAAGGGAAAGGACGGCAACTCGTACAGTACAGTGTCCATGGTTACAGGGACATGAGTTTGGAAACTCTAGTTCAGACATGGCCACCAACTACAGGTCCACCAAGACTGCTTAGAACAGGATCCAGGCTTTCCTTAGAGGTGTCTCATCACAGTAACGTCTAGGCTTATCCTTGCTTAACATCCAATATTACATTAGGCCACAAGTGCAGTAGGAAATGTGTCTACACTGTATTCTGAATCTGACATTCATCAGACTGATCCAAATGACTTATCTGGGCTGATTTCCGGTAACAATGTTTCACATGATGCCCAGATGCTCATGCTTTACTTTGATTAAACAGTATTGCTGTACTCCACAATTACAGAATAAAGTAAACAATGTGCAACAGCTTCACCTTCAATAAATGCCCTGAAATATGTACAGTATCTAAAGTACTTCATAAAGCTTAAATATTTAAAAATCACATCCCGGCACTTTGTTTGTATTTTATCTACAGTACATTATTAGACCTTTCTGAAGCACACGAGGTTCAACAAATACACAACAATAATCACAATGCTATCTTTAACTTCACATGGACTTCCTGGTGGGCAGCAAAAACAAAGTAAAAGCAAAGTAACCGTGCCCATCAAGTCAAACTGCATATGGCCTAAAAAACATTTACGTTCTTGCGATATGATGAAAGTTTCTAAAATAAAACTGCTTTGGTTAAAAGGAATTGTCAATAATTCACATAAGTAGTTTCAGAAGGACTAATTCAGGTTTATCCTTACTCTAGGGGCACCATGCTAATTCAGATGGCGACTAGTTTGCTGTGCAGACACACAACGAATTTGGATGTAGAGCAGGTGAAATACAGTAAATGCATTTCATGTGTGGGTTTCGATTTAGATCCTACTGCAAATCCCCATAGATGGGCATTGATTACTGCAGTGCACTCCCAGCCAGAAGCAATGAACTAAAGGCAGAGGTCTCACCTAATTTTAAGTCTTTTTTAACTGCTTTTTTCTACTTGATAAGCTTATGAGATTCAGAGAATCTGAATGACGAAACAGCAGTATGAGTATCCAGGAGGACTACGTGGAGCAGAAATGGTAATTCAAGCAGTGTCTAAACTACTGGATGACCAATATTGATTTTAGAACACACGTTAAAAATATCCAAATGAAATTAGAAAAACAGAAGATAATTACAATGACAGAAATGTTTTCTTAAGGACATAAAACAATTGCCTTTTGCTGTACCTGGAGAGAATTTCAGAAAAAAACTTGGCTTTTCTGACCTACTTCTATCATTTGACTGAATCATCACTAACTAGCTAAACAAAAACCACTTCTCCAAACTGAAGCACCTGCAAAAATAACTGGACTGTCTTTTTTCTCAACTGTACCGATAACGTTCTGCAGCTTGTTCTCCAACAATTGCTTTTTGCATTTAAAAAAAACAGTTTGTATAATCAGCGCATTGCTAAACACTTTCAAAATGCTCATTTGAATCAAAATAGCAGGGGACAATCATTTAATACTCCGTCATGATCTGAATGTCTTCCATATCCGTTATTCAATCTGCCCCACCTGAGGACCCGAGTGCCGCATTCACCTTCCTTCTGAAATTCTGCAATAACTCAGTTATTTTTGTTTGTTCTAGCGGAAAGATAATGCAGAGGTTCTGTAATGAGAGATTCATCGATCTGGGATCAAAGATGGTAAATGAAACACCGAGATGATGAACTGCCAAGCTGTGCTCAAATTGCTTGGTTTCATTGGCAGTGTGGAGAAGTACAAGGCCTGGGATCTGAATCAGGGAAATTACTGTCTTACACAGCCTAATCCTATCTTGTCCACGATGAAGCCCTCGAGAAAGAGGGATTAACCTGAGTTTGCTATTGCAATAATTTTACCAAAGTCAGGACTTTCCCAAAGACTTTGCCTGCTGCTTAAGAGAATCCTCATCTCTAACAACAGCCAAGAGAAAATACTGAACCCTAGTGCAGCAGGTGCTTCAGTAATCGACTAATCAATAACTTTGATTAGTCATAAAAAAACTCAAATCTACACTCACATGTTTAGATTATTCAAATTTAATTGCAATATTGGCATTTCTCTGGTCTAACTTATTAAGTAATCACTAATGGAGTTAGTTCAGGTGGGTAGCTGTGTCAGCATGCGTAGGCTGCAGAGGAACAAATAATAGGTTTATTCCATGCTGAAAAGCAAAGAAAGAAAACACAACGTTTCGACCGTGGGGCCTTCTTCAGGTGTGTCTTCAGGTGTTCTTCAGGTGTAAACAGGTGTAAACACCTGAAGAAGGCTCAACGGCCTAAACGTTGTGTTTTCTTTCTTTTCTTTTCAGCATAGAATAAACCTATTACTTGTTCCTTTGCAGCCTACACATGCTGACACAGCTACCCACCTGAACTACTACAGCCTACACCTGCTGCGACCCACTATGTCTTCCTCCAAATCTTTTTCTAGATCTCTTCGTCATACCTTCTCTTCCTCCCTGGGCCACTTGCTCCCTTCTCTCACTAAACCATCTCTTCACAGCTATCTGTTCCAAGACCAGGCTTTCTAACCACCTTCTATTCCTTTACAAATGTCGTCGACATAATATCATTCCTAAAGGCACTAATGGAGTTAGCCTTGTCTGTGTCCGAGACACTGCATAAAACATACTTGCAGCACCCCACTTTAAAAAATAATTGTTCTTAAAAGTTAAGAATGTAGATTTTGCAAGAACAGTATGTCAAATATGCATATAACCTAATACAATTAGAGTAACTTTTGGAATGTTGTCGCATAGTGGCTTCATAATCCTTTCATAACTGCTGTTCAAAATGTTATAATCACATGCATAATGCTTTACAGGGTTATGGATTAATAACATAACATGCGCATAAAGAATTCATGACATTTGTTTCAGCATCGCATCGTACAAAGCACTATAAACAATACTAAAATGTCATCACCTCTTATACACATGTTCTGTCATTAGCAGACCCTGTAAAGCATTGTGTATGTGATTATAACATCTTGTACAGCAGTTATGAAGGGATTATGAATCCACTATGTAGCAACATTCAAATAATGTGCTATCATAATAATTAATCCAATTAGCATGTAAAACATATACCAACCTGACTGTGCAAATGAATCCAGAGATACAGTACATGTTGGAGAGATGGCACTCATTACAGACAAAGTTCATGTGTTCCAACATTTTTCACTTCATCAAGAGGCAGTTTTCAGCGACTGAGCTCCATGAGTGGTACTGTATGTATAGTTTATCCTGAATTCAACAGCATGTAACAATGTCCAAGATTTTAAAAAATAAGAAACTCACAAAGCACTGAAATAAATACTTGCTCACTAAACAAACACAAATGCACATCACACTATTTTTATCATAAATTGTATTCAAGATGAATGGTTGCATTTTGGTCCTGACTCCCGAGTAGTGCGTATTTTGGACACTATGCAGATGATATAATCCAGAAGTGACTGGAAAAAGACTTCTATGGAAACACAGCAGAAGCAGGATGGGAAGACAGACAGGGGGGCGTGGCGGCTGTGATCTGGTGCTCAGGGGGCGTGGGGCCGGCGGACAAGTCCAGAACGGGATCCAGGACAGGAACAGGGACAGGGAACCAGGAGGATAAAAACAGTAACGAGGCCAGGCGCTCTGAGCCCCGGTCTCAGA